GGCGGGGCGAGGGCGGAGAAGGGGCGGGACGCGGCGCAGGGAGGTGGCCGGCCGGGACTGGGCAGGAAGCCGGCCGCAGCTCCCGCCAGTGCCGAAGAACCTTCCTTCCTCCTCCTCCTTTACCTTTCCCCCTCTTCCCATCTCCCTCAGCTCCGGTCGCAGACACCGGTAAGTGTAGCCGCCGGGCCTTGGTGAGAGCTCGAAGCTTGGGTGGTAGGATACAGCATGCCTGGGCTGGCTAGACCCCCTCGCGGGGAAGGGCAAATGAGAAGGCAGTGGGTGCCTAGCGGTGTGGTCCCCTGTCCGCTGTTTAGCGAAAAGGGACGTCTTACCCCTTCGAAGCCTTAAAACGGGCTCGGAGTGCACACACACCCTCATATCCACCATTAGATTTGATAGCAGGCTTGCCAGTCCCATCCCACCCCCGAGACCCTGCCCCTTGGGGAAACCCGGCTGGGGAGTCTCTAAACCCTTTCCGCAGGATTAATGAAAATGGGTGCCCACCTTCTCAAGGGGTCCCTCCTCTCTACCGAGGGACCCTCTCCCTTGTCACTGCAGAGAGGGGAGCTCCAAGTAACAAAGGTGTATTCTTTTCCCCCAAATTAATGACAAGAGTACTCCACTCGCCCCTGAACTTCCCTTACTTAGCCTCCATGCTCTCTCGTAGGCGGACCACCCTCTCCACCTGCATCCCTGCCGCTTCCCCCAGTGCCCATGGATCCCTAGAAGCAGGGCGCCTCCTCCCCCTCGCGGCTTCGAAGGCTGAGAGACTTGGAAGCTGATGGGTGAAGCGGCCCGGGTAGGCCCGAGGCGCCCCGCATTCCTTTTCCCCAAAAAGAGATGCGCCCCCTTTCCCTTCTAGCTGGAACGCTCCGGGTGGCCGTTAGCCCCGGGAGGGGCGGGAGTGGAAGAGCCATGGCTGGGGGAGGGGGACGGGAAGGTTGGTTAGTGATCTCTTTGGTCAGCCGGGAAGGCGGAGAAGGCAGGTAATTTATGGGCTGCGCAGGGTTAAGAGATTGCCGCCTTCGGTTTGGAAACTTCTAAGTGCCTGGGGAGACCCCTCCGTAGAGTGAGTGATTAGGCAGTCTGGGGATTGGAAGCCAGGTGGATGTATTTCACGGCAATGGCCCACGGCCTTCTACCCACGCCGGTTCCCATCGGACTTCCCTAACCGGTCTGGGTGGCCCTTGGGTTCCCTAAGGCCTCTGGAGACCAGTAAGGGGAGCTGGGCTTGTTTCTGCCCGCTGCAGAGATGAGATTAGGGGAGCTGAGTCCTGGGAACATCCCAAATCCAAAATCTGTGCGAGTAGCAGCTTCAAAGACAGAATATGGCTGTAGAGGGGTTAGTCCTTTACTGTGCAAAGCGTTCCTGTTTCACAAACGGGGTTGTAGCAGAAGCACTCTAGCTGGGGTAATTAAAATGGACTTTAATTTTCATTCTAGGCCCTAGTGGTATTAGTAAGTAACCCCACCCCCCTTAACTCACATAATTACCATGTGGTGTAGTCAATATGGTAAACAAATGTCGGCATCACTCAGTTAATTTTGGCCACTGTGACAGGATCTTTGAGGCTTTTTTACTATCAGTAGCAAGAGGTCATTTGTAAGGAAGAAATTGTGTCCAGCCCTCCAGTTTTGGAAAATACAAAATAAGAACAATATGTTTTTTGTATGAAAATCCAGTAAGGGTTAAAAAAAAATAGATATCTAATTGAACAAATTGGTTTTATAAGTTATATGTGATTAGGACAGTCCTGGAAATTAAAGGCTGTTGAGTCAGGGAGTATATTGTAGCTAGGTTTCCCCTTGAGGCACCTCTTGTTAGGAGATTTACAAGTAAATAGAGAATGATTTATGATGCTGTGTAATTGGGAGCCAACCTGTTAATGTGGGTAGTGAATAAAGAAATTGACCACCATCATTGCTTAAGAAAAGCTTTCTGGGGGGAAAAAGGCAATGGGACTTAAAATAGTGTTTCACCTTTCACCTTTCTTTGCAGCAGTTTGTCGGGCTAAAAAAAATAAACGTAAGGCCCCAGAGATGATAATATTAATATTTTGGTATTATGTGATACATATCCTTCTAGGTCTTTTATTTTACTATGAAATATAGACATAAAATACTAAGGTTTACGTAACAGTATGGGATATCTTGTAATTTTTTTTTTACTTATTACCTTGGATGTATTTTCATATCACTAAATGTCCATATTATCATTATTTAAAATGTTTATTTGTTTATTTTGAAGGGGGTGGAGAGGGGTGGAGAGGGGTAGGGAGAGAGAATCCCAAGCAGGCTTTGTGCTGACAATACAGAGCCAGATGCAGGGCTGGATCTCACAAATTGTGAGATCATGACCTGAGCCAAAAGCAAGATTCAGACATTTAACCGACTAAACCACCCAGGCACCCCTCCACACTATCATTTTAACAAGTAACAAATACTCCATTTTATGAATTTATCATTATTTAACCAATTTCTTACAGTTAGCTTCTTTCCAATGTTTTGCTGCTTATTACATACTATAAATACGATTGCACTGCACATCCTTTTTGTATGTTTTGATATACCTATTTGATTATCTCCTTCAGATTCTGGAAAATGAATTGTTGGAAGAAGGTGTGTGCACTTAGAGATTTTGATACATACGGCCAAGCTACCCTCCACCTGCACACCTACCATCAATGCGTGAGGATAGTAGAAGCTTTTGTTGAACTGGCTGGGTGAATACTACTAATGGTTTAAGTTACTTCTTGTTTCACCAGTGACAGCAAGAGACAGGGTGACATGAGAGATTCGACTGCACCCTGCCCTGGACAGCTTACAGATAGAAGAATTAACCCATAAAGAGACTGAAGTGGGTTTCAAGATGGCAAAAGAAGACCTCCCAAGTACCTCAAAGGACTTGCAGGAACTGCAGAGGAAGCTGTCTTTGCTGATTGAGTCTATCCAGAATAACTCAAAGGTCAGTTTCCAATCAGGGTATGTAATGGAAAAATCCCAAAATAACACCAGCTTAAACAGCATAGAAGGTTATTTCTCTCTGAGGTAGAAGAAATTTGGAGTAGGTCAGGAATCTTTCTAATTCACCACTCTGACATGCCTAAATTGTGATCTTCAAACTCATTGTCCAAGATGGCTGCTAAAGTATCAGCCACTGTATTCACATTTCAGGCTATGGGATGGAGGAGGGAAGGGGAGAAAGGCTTGCAAGCCACTTCTAATTTAAAGGCCTTCCTAGAAGTCACACACAGGTAGCACTTCCAATTATATCTCATAGACCAAAATTTAGTTGCAGGTCTCCCCTAGGGGTAAATGCAGTTCTTTAGATATAAGGGTGGCTCTCAGTCTTTGCCACAGATACCTTCCTGTTTTGTTTTGTTGTTAATTTTGCCCTGTTATCCTGAGACTGAGGGGCTAAAGCCTACTTTAAGATTTGAGTCCAGTTTTCCACTAGAAACCCAGTGTCCAATAGAAGTATGATAGGAGCCACATATGTAATTTACAATTTTCTAGTAGCCACATTTAAAAAGTAAAAAGTAGGTGAAATTAATTTTGATGTATTTAGTCTAATATATCTAAATATTTCAATATGTAATCATTATAAAAAATTATTAATGAAAAAAGTCATTGAAACGTTCTACATTATTTTGTAGTAAGTCTTCAAACTCCAGTGTGTATTTTACACTTAATGGCACATCTCCATTTGAATTAGCCACTTTTCAGATGTTCAGTACCCATTCAATGGCAATGGGACTTGAGATGGTATATTCTGCTTTCTTGAATTTTTATCTTTCTTGCCTTCTTCTGTGTGTCACTCAGCATTTTGTCAGGAAAAAAAATAATAGCTCTCAGAGATAATATTAACATTGTGTTCTATTTCCCTCCAGACTTTTTTTTTCCCATGCAGTATACCCCATAAGGTACATACATATATGTAATGAAATGAACTAGTTTGTGATCTGTTTTTTGTATTAGACAGTACAATTCCCCTAGGGTCTATTTGAAGAGCTACCACTTTGCAGTCTAGAGCAATATACTCCGTAGCGATCTTTCCTGGACTCATCCCAAAATGCCTCTGGCCCTCTTGGTGGATTTACCAAGCTATTTTTAAATTGGCCAGGCAGCTTTCTAGTCAGCAGGATGAGACTCTTGTTGCTAAAAGTTAGCTTAGTAGGAAAGGTCCTTGTGCTCATCTCCATGTGCATTTGATTCTCATTAGATGTGTTATTTAAGTTCTATGAGGTCACCTCAAACAATGAATTCGCAATTTCTCCAGGGGAACTATAGGATTAGGCTCTGGCAAATGTATGGTCACAATATACTCATCAATTGATAAATACATAAACTATTGCATGTGTATTTTTGTTTGCAGGTTACTTATATATATATTGTTCATTCCTTAACATTAAACTCATGGCCAATAGCACTAGAAATCTTGCCTGAACAAAGTATTTTCTCTTAAGGCACATCACAGCCTTCTTACACTTAAGAACACTAGACAGTATTTCTGCCATTTTGAATGGTGAAATTACCAACAAAAAACAAAAATGTAAGAAAAGGTATTACAGAACCTTCCATCAGATTGACATAAGCATAATTTATAGAAACATCTACTTGTTTGGAGCATATTTAGATGATTTATTTCTCCCAAATAAGTTTTAGCCTTTCCTCAGAGTTAATCAGCCCTTTAAATTCCAGAAAAGAATAGATTGGCTTCTACACAGAGTATTTGTGAAACAACTCCCATCATTTCTTCTAGGAAGCCTCTGGAATGTCAAGTCTTTGTTGTCTTACTTTTAGGCTGAGAGAGTCAGAAACCTGCTCAAAATAGCTTAAGCAAATGAGTAGTGAGGCATGCTGGGACTTTGGAAATGGGAGGCTATCTTAGAAGCCAAGGGCAGGAAGTGAATCAGGATCTGGCAGGTCACTGGGGTTAGAGGTAACTCTCAACATCTTCTCTTGGGCCATGTTGCTCATGTTGCTTCCAGTTACCGTTTTTCCTTGTGCATCACCTTCATTCTCCTCTCTCTACAGCCTGGCTTTCTTGACTCTTCCATTCACATGGGCCAGTGTGACTCCCCAGGCTGGTACCTTCAACTCCCTATGTCTCCCTCCCTGAAGCCCTTTAGGAGCCTTCTCTGGGAATGTCTGATTCCTAGGATCAGGCTTGACCAAGTCACCTGTGGCCAGGTTGGTGACAGCTGGGCAGGGGCTTCTCATTTCGTGGAGAGAAACATGGCTCCAGGGGCCTACCCCTATTGTGGGAAGGGACAGTGTTCAGAGACGTGGGAAGAGAGAAGGAACATGGGCTGGGCAGATGCCCCCTGATGGCATTTTCACTTGTGGATTACCTATGACTAACTAGTTTTGCTCCCATGCTGGCCCACAAGGGATGTTTTTGAACTAACCTCTGAATCATGTACCAGTGGGCACCCAGGGACCGCGGTCTGGGAGAAACTGTTACCCAGCACCTTGGAGTTGTCTTTACCACTGGTTTTATTTATTTATTTACTTATTTTTAATATGAAATTTATTGTCAAATTGGTTTCCATACAACACCCAGTGCTCATCCCAACAGGTGCCCTCCTCAATGCCCATCACCCACTCTCCCCTCCCTCCCACCCCCCATCAACCCTCAGTTTATTCTCAGTTTTTAAGAGTCTCTTATGGTTTGGCTCCCTCCCTCTCTAACTTTATTTTTTCCTTCCCCTCCCCCTTGGTCTTCTGTTAAGTTTCTCAAGATCTCACATATGAGTGAAAACATGTGGTACCTGTCTTTCTCTGTATGACCTATTTCACTTAGCATCACACTCTC